TTAAAAACACCACTAGGTTGGAACCTTTTAAGGGCAACAAATGTCCTTCTGTTCACTGTTGCACCCAAAGGCATTTTGTTATTTAGTATAGATAATCAATATTTGTTGAATGAACAAATGGATACCAAGTTTGTTGCATGAATTAATAAACAATGGATAATAATTTCAGCACCATCTATCAAAAGATTATGATAGTCAAGTAAAAATGGATATCTAACTCCATCTTGTAAGCTGAACAAATTTAAGGTGTTCCTACTGTTATATTTCAACAAAAGATGCTGGCTCAATTATCTTTGCTCTTAACTGCATTTATAAATACATCTATAGCATTTTGAATCGTTCCATATGCTTTCATCTGTTTAGACACCAACTAATTAAAGGCTGTTTAGCTCTAAGTAGCTTTAAATACTTTAAACTAGAAATATCTTTTCCCTATCTTGATACCTAATTAATTTTTAAAACAAATCCAGTGCTACAGCCCAGACATATGAACTATTAGGTTGACTATCACAATATTTTATCATTAGGTTGACTATTATAATATTTTATTATTTTTAAGAAACAGGATTTTTTTGGAAGCTCTGTATTTTTCTTAACCTGGTATGAGTTGTTAAGTGCTGTCACAAGAGAGCCTTCAATTTGATGTATTGGGCATATTATCACAGGGAAGTGTATTATCATATGACATTATGACACTTGAACTCCAGGGGGAAATTTGGGTAGAGTGTCTGGCCAATATGTTCTAGCCATCTTCCTGAAGTTGCCTAATGCTTGCTGTGTTTTGACCCCAATTCTCCCAAAGCACATTTTTCCTCCCTCCCATTATGTTTCCAACTTCCTCTCATGCATCATTAAAAGTTGGGACAGATCCTAGGAGACTATAAAGCTGTTTCTTTGGATTTCACATGTAATTCTACCTCGACTTACAAAAAGTGAGTGAACAACTATTCTCATATAACTGAAGAATAGCTTTAATGAAATATATCTAATTTTTCAAATCGTTTAGTTAGAACTTCTTATAATAAATGCAAATCATGCTATTGTAGTTTAAACCCATTTTGTTTACTGACCTTAGAGAAAAAAGGAAAGCTAGTCATGATATCCCAGAATTTTATACATGATAGTCTGTTATAACACATCCCTTTGCCTTATACAGATCTGGATATAACATGAACCAAATTATGTCTTCAAATGTAACATAAAAGAGAAAAATGGTTGTCCCAAGTGCCAAAATAGCAGCTAAGAGGGCTTCCCTAGCACTTGGAAGACTTTTAGATCACTTCTTAGAATACACAGTGTGTGCTCTCGAGAAGCAGAAGTATTCACCAGCTGGGCATAGTGGTGCACACCTGTAATTCCAGCATTTTGGGAGGCCAAGGCAGGTGGATCACTTGAGGTCAGGAGTTCAAGACCAGCCTGGCCAACATGGTGAAACCCCGTATCTACTAAAAATACAAAATTTAGCCAGGCCGGATGGTGGGCACCTGTAATCCCAGCTACTTGAAGACTGAGGCACGAGAATTGCTTGAACATGGGAGGTGGCGGTTGCAGTGAGCTGATATGGCACCACTACATTCCAGCCTAGATGACAGAGCGAGACTCTGTCTCAAAAAAAGAGTAATCCTATAGGTCCCAAGTTTCTTGTCAGATACCTTGAAATCACACTGTGTCTTGATGGATGTTTCCAGAATGCTGCTCTCCCAGAAACTCCCTCCATTAACACCTGGCTATTTCCTCTTTCTCAAAATTTGCTCTCATTGAAAAACACTCTGTTGCTAAGCTATTGATGCTAAAACATGAGAATGGAAATTGAATTAGTCAACCCTATGGATGCTGTGAGTGCCTGCATATTTAAATCTGGCAGCTGAGACATCAAGTGAGTAACGTTTTCACTTTTCATTTAAATATCTGAGAATTACAGATACTACTTAAGCCCACTTGACAGAACTCTTCATTCAGAAGAAAAAGACCAATGTTGAGGAATTTGAGTCTCATGAGATTTGCCAGTCAGTCATGAATTTCACAGTGACTTTTAGTCTAATTTTTGGCTGATTTCTTAAAGCAACATTGTCTGAAATAAAACATTTTAGTCAATTATTACAGCCATCATTCCTATTCCCACCCTTTTTCTCCCTACATTGTACCTGGACCTTTTGTGAAGTACTGATTTTTGTGTCTTGTGTTTTTCTAAAACAGGATTTTAAATGAAATGAAAGGCAGATATCAACAAAAATCTACGATTCTGACAAAGCCGTGGGAGCTTTCCAAGGATTTAGAAACAGGCAGTTAACAATACATTAGGTATTACACTGTTTGGACCAGATTTCCCATCTGGGCAAAGCTTCTAATTTTCCAACTTGAAAATTCTATAAAATCCATGTGGGAATTCTTGCTTAAAAGCTGACATATGGTTGACGGTGACAAAAGAATATGTATCTATTTAGCAAATACATGTTTTTGTTTTAAAAAAATAGTGCCATCTTTCAATGACTTTGGTGTAGCTTTTATAAATATAATAGAACAAATAAAATATGAGCATTAATACTTACACCAAACACAGAGGAGCAAAAAAGTAATGGCCCAGCAAATGAGTTACCAAATAATTTACACAGATTTTTGAGTAAGGAAACATGAAAAATGAGATAACCTCCAAATGTAGGTGGTTTCTATTACTTCTAGTCGAAATCTGGATAGTCACACAGTGAGTGACATCAATACTGTTAGACTACAGGTACTAGGAGTTGGTTAAGAAACTGGCAGAGGAAGCAGAAAATGCAGGAAGAAAGACCACCACATATGTACTGAAGAAGAAATGCTGTGGTTGAGATTTGTTTTCCTCTCCCTTGGGTTTCAGATCTTAATTCTCATTTCTTGTTCACACCACTGCTATGCTTTTATCCTGGTGTTTCCCAAATGCTCTGTAGGCAAACACAACTACCTAGGAAGTGTTTTTCTTTTACTGAGTACCTGCTATCATTTGAGTAATGGAATAAAAGGCTTGAATCCTTAAACTTTATTTCGACATATGCTCATTGAAATTGGGCATCTCATAGGTGTAAGGCATGCTGTAACTATAATCTAGGACCTTTGCATTGGATTTTCTATTTCTGTATCACTCGTTCCTTGGTTTTATCTCCTAATCTGTGACCTTTTTTTTTTTCTATTTTCTTTTCTATTCTTCCACACTGTTTTCTTTAAAAAATGGATCCAACTCTGATTGTTTCATCTCTATTTCTGATTTTGACACTTTTTTTCTGCTTAATACTTTTACTGCTATCCCTAGAGCTAACCCAATTTTCAAATAATAATATACTTAAGTGGAACCCTGAGCTTACTCAGTAGCAATATTGTAATATGTATAGTACCTACCAACTGTTATATTATCTGAAAGAATAAAGTGAAACTAACCTCCATTATTTTATCATTTTACTTATATGTTTTGCTGGAAGGTAAAGAGCATAATTTAGATAATGAAACCTTTTGCAGAGTATTGAAGAGTATTATTTCATAGAGGCAGTGATATCCTGTATTAAATGAAACCAGGCAGGAAGTCAGCAGGTGATGGTTCCTGCTCTTCCAAACACTGGGTAGCCTCTAGCAAATAACTGACACACTGTGTACCTCACCACAGTTTAGAATTTTGCAAAATAGAGACATTATTTGATGTTATAACTGATATTGATTGAAGACTAATTAGACAATATATGTAAAAAGGCTTTGTTCTTCAGAGAAGGAGACATAATCTGGCATTTTTGACTGTATCTGTTCATCAGATAATATGATTTGTGATCTTATTGTACAAAGAAAAAAAAGTCTTTATTCCAAATTTAGCTTAGCTCACTCCTTCTAGGCTGAAGAGCTTTTGGAGCCAGCAACTACAGAGCCTGATTAATAATGTCCCCTTTTCCCATAGTCTCTTTGTTTGAACAGGTTTTCTGAACCTTCCTCTTAGAGTAATGGATTTGATTTTCTCCAAAAGCCATAGGAAAGCATTCTTAAGTCTCCTTCTAAGATTCTCCAATGATTTCAGAAGTAGAAGAGAATCAGAAATGTGTTTCCTACAAGAGGGAGGCCCCTAAAGACGGCATCAAACATAAGAGAAAGATAATCTTTTCTTAGTCTCCTTTAACAGACACTATTCCTCAGTGAGTCACTGAAACAAGATGACATATCTGTCACGGGCCCTGAGGGGCAGATGTGAGAGTGTGGAAGCCTATTAAACATCCAATTTCATGGTATCCATGCTACAAAAATGAATTTTTTATCTTTTCACTGAATGAACCTACTCAGAAATTCTACCCATTCACTGGTACTATGAAATATAGACTCTTCTTCAGAGGCCTTTCACCTAGTAACCCATTTCCATTTACATATAAAGGTCTTCTGTTAATCAGTTAATTTCTTTGGAAATAATTCCCTTAATATATGTAAGTGCATTTGTAACTCTGAGTGAACTCTGAATACCTTCAAAAAGCAGTATCTTCTATTACTAAGCATATTTCCAGATTCATTTAGTAATGCCACTCTCTCAGAAAGTTTCCCCCTTTTGCTCCTCAACTCCTTTTTATTGGGATAAGAGAACATAAAAATATCTATTAGTAAACAAGTTTAAGAAGTCCTTCACTAATAGTCTATAGTAAAAAACATAAAATAAATAGAAAGGAGTAATAAACTCAGTATTTTAGATTCATTTCCAGATTTTGGTCTAAACACATTGTGATCAAGTAGTCTCTACTCATTTTCATGCATATATACTTATATATATATATTTATATACACACATATATACTTAAACGTATATATTTAACAACATGGAATGGCAACATATCAAATGCTTAGATTCTGTGCAAACGTATAATCCTTCCCATGAAGGAAACATGTTAATATCATGAAAACAAATCATGGAGAGTAACATGCAACAACTGAGGGCAGGAAAATGGGGTCAGGGCAGGGAAACAGGAGAAACACAAAGAATGTAAAGAACAAAAAGTGTCATTGACCTGATTTGTCAGAGTTGTTGCCTGTGATTGGAGTGATGGAGCAGCTGGGATTAGCCTTTGCGCTGTCCTTGGAAGAAACCATTTTGGGTTTATTTTTCGTTGCCTCTAGTGCTTTGACCTTCTTGGCATGTTTACTTCCTTTGTAGTGGGCCTCGGCCTGGCTCTACAAAGGAGAACAAATCAGGCTCATTTTTTGCTAATTACAAACACTACAATGGATGATCATGCAGGAAAAAAATACATTCGATCATAGGCACCACAGACATTTACAACTCAGTACCTGACTATGTTTTTGTCATTTCACGAAATGGCAGACCAGTTCCTAAGAGGGTATAGCATATCAAAACCGCCTATATAATACAAAGGACCTGCATCTTTAAAAAACCAGGCATATGAGTGGAAAAAGGGATTAGGGCAAAATTGCGATGAAGGTGAGCTTTGTCATCAGTGCCCTCCCACCAGTGCCTACTGCGGCTACTTTTCAAACACTGACTGGAGCAGCAGCTTTGAGTGTCCTACCCATGCATGTGGGTACGACCTTCCTCAGTCATTTTCCTTCAGCTAAAATCCTGTTTGCCATGTCTACTTTCTTCTGGGCTCTGAGACCAACTGGTGTGACAAAACAACAGGTTAATAGGTGATATTGAGTGAAAAATGACACTGAAGTTTTTGGAGAGATCTACATGCACTTCATGCATCGTTTTGATGATTCCAGTTACAAGAATGGATAATATAAGCCACAAAGGAGGTAGAAACAAACTCTTGTTTCTGAACTCAAATGTGATTATGAAGTCCTAGTGAATAGTGTTAAATTCATTTATATGCAAAGCATATATAGAACTGTAACTTCAGTACTAGATCAAAAGGAAAAGAAAGAGCAAGACAAAACACAAAAACAAATTACAACAAGCCTTGAAAACATGTAGTCAACTTACCGACATTTGGAAAATTCTCTCTGCCTAAACAACAAGGCTTTTATCTTATTGGCATCTAGTATTAATATACACATTAACACAGGAATCTAAGTATATTCACTTGAATTATATTTTGAAAAGACAGAAAAAATATAAACATGCATTTGGTGAAAAGAAACAAAACTAAACATATATGGTATATTAGCTTAGTTGTAAAAGTGAAATGAACAATAAATCTTATGTAAAGCAAGTTGAAATTTTGTTAGGGAATTTCTAAAGAAATAATAACTTTAAAAAAGATCAGTTTTCTTTATATACTTATATATGTTTGAAGAAGATTATATGAACCTTTCTATTCATGTAACTTTTGAGATTTCAGGAAAGGGATCCATTTACACTGGTAGAGAAGAGTACGTTTCTGGTTGGAGGATGCAGGCCTAAGGAAAGGACTGACGCTAGAGTGCTGGAACAGTGATGGCCATGGCTGGAGAGGGGCTTAGATAGGCCTCCTGGTGGAACATCAACAACATGAGGTCAAGGAAACTAGATGTGCAGTTATGTAGAGGAGGTCACCACTGAGGTGAGATTCTCAAGCAGAGGCATGATGATACACACAAATTCCAAATGGGGAAGATTTCTGCAGCAGCTATTTATTACATGTTTGTTGGACTGAATATGAGAGAAAAGAGGTGACACAGAAAGGAAGGCAGCAGAGAGAATATATGATTCTTCTGGTAAAATCACTAATGGAGAATATGAATATAATATTCTCCATTATAATAATATCATCGATTTCTTGAAGGCTTAGGTATTATCAGTCCTGCTTATGCCCTTTGCTTAAGTGGAACCATTTCATTACTAACTACTAGAGACGAAGCACTCTTCTAACATGTCATGATTAGACTAAGCCATCTAAGTTTGCTTTTTGTGTGTTGTTGGAAGTGTTTCTTCTGCCTTTCCTGCTTGTTTCGCTCTAGCTCACCAGGACATGTTGCTTTGCTATCTTCAGACATCCAGCGATAGCTAGTTCAGCAGAACTGGTGATGGTGAGCAGCATTTCAATGCCAGCATTACTTCCAGATCTTGGTTGGGAATAACCCTACTTTATCCTAAGCTCATAAATGATGATGATGAATTTGTTCATGTCAAACATTATGGATGATACAATCACAAGTCTTAAGGGTCATGAAGTGAGTTAAACATCATATCCATGTATTTGCTGTCCCTTTTGAGTGGAAGCTTGATTACAGATTCATGTCACAGTCTGTTTTTCAATGTACCCTGATTCTGCTGTGTTATTTCTTGTAGAGTGGGAAGTGGTTGGGGAAAAAAATTTGCTTTGGTAGTAGTGTAATCAAGGATACGTTTTGGACACACTAGTGATTTCCCTAGCATATAACCCAGATCACCCAAGGTATATAGCCTTGTGCTGAATATACACGGTCCCTAACTCCCTGAATAAGTATCTTTTGAGATCTTATTGACACTACATTGTTCGTACTTGGTTTCCTCAAGGACTTCTCATGTTGTTCTCTGTCAAGTTGGGGAAGAAATACCATGGGGAGAGAAAAGTATAAAATTATTTGATGGCCTTTATTTATTACCAACCAAGAACGTTTAAATCCATCTAATATAGTTTGGTAGTTATACATTAAGAAAGTATGCAAATAAAAATTAAAAATTGATAATGTAATATAATACTATAATAATGATTAATTTTTTTTACAGATATAGTTGATCTTTATTTATGGATTCTGTATTTGAGAATTTGCCTATTTGCTAATATTTATTTGTAACCCTAAAATTAGACTCATGGTGTTCTTATGGCCCATATTTTGGACCTGTACAGCACAGTAAAAAATTGGAATCTCCTGGTGTGCCCCACTGCACCCAAAATTTGAGTTATCCCAGTGAGGTCAAAGAACACCAAGTTCTGCCTTCTTGTTCTGGCTGTCATACTGTAAAATGAGTGTCATTTAAAAAATCTTTATATATATAAAATTGCCCTTTAGGGTACATTCATGGCAAGGTGGTTTGCTGCCTCCATCCTCCCGTCACCTATATCTGGCATTTCTCCCCATGTTATCCCTCCCCAACCTCCCTACTGTTCCTCCCTAATTCCCTCTCAACAGACCTCAGTGTGTGATGCTCCACTCCCTGTGTCTGTGTGTTCTCACTGTTCAACACCTGCCTATGAGTGAGAACATGCAGTGCTTGATTTTCTGTTCTTGTGTCAGTTTGCTGAGAATGATGGTTTCCAGATTCATCCATGTCCCTACAAAGGACACAAACTCAACGTTTTTGATGGCTGCCTAGTATTCCACAGTGTATATGGGCCACATTTTCCTTGTTCAGTCTATCATGGATGGGCATTTGGATTGATTCCAGGTCTTTGCTATTGTAAACAGTGCCACAATGAACACACAGGTGCATGTGTCTTTATATTAGAACAATTTATAATCCTTTGAACATATACCCAGTAATGGGATTGCTGGGTCATATGGAATTTCTATTTCTAGTTCCTTGAGGAATTGCCACACTGTCTTCCACAATGGTTGAACTAATTTACACTCCCACCAACAGTGTAAAAGTGTTCCTATTTCTCCACATCCTCTCCAGAATCTGTCTTCAGATTTTTTAATGATCATCATTCTAACTGGAGTGAGATGGTATCTCAATGTGGTTTTGATTTGCATTTCTCTAATGACCAGTGATGATGAGCATTTTTTCATGTTTGTTGGCCTCATATGTCTTCTTTTAAAAAATGTCTGTTCATATCCTTCACCCACTTTTGAATTGGTTTGTTTTTCTTGTAAATCTGTTTTAGTTCTTTGTAGATTCTGGATATTAGCCCTTTGTCAGATGGGTAGATTTGCAAATTTTTTTTCCATTATGTTGGTTGCTGGTTCACTCTAATGATTGTTTCTTTTGCTGTACAGAAGCTCTGGAGTTTAATTAGATCCCATTTGTCTAATTTGGCTTTTGTTGCCAATGTTTTTGGTGTTTTAGTCATGAAGTCCTTGTCTATGCCTATGTCCTGAATGGTTTTGCCTAGGCTTTCTTCTAGGGCTTTTATGAGGTTAGGTCTATGTTTAAGTCTTTAATCCATCTGGAGTTAATTTTAGTGTAAGGTGTCAGGAAGGGGTCCAGTTTCTGCTTTCTTGCACATGGCAAGCCAGTTTTCCCAACACCATTTATTAAACAGGAAATCCTTTTCTCATTGCTTGTTTTTGTCAGTTTTTTCAAAGATCAGACGGTTATAGATGTGTGGTTTTGCCTCTGAGGTCTCTGTTTGGTTTCATTGGTCTATATCTCTGTTTTAGTACCAGTACCATGCTGTTTTGATTACTGTAGCCTAGTAGTATAGTTTGAAGTCAGGTAGCATGATGCCTCCAGCTTTGTTCTTTTTGCTTATGATTGTCCTGGCTACGTGGGCTCTTTTTTTGGTTCTCTATGAAGTTTAAGGTGTTTTTTTTCCAGTTATGTGAAGAGGGTCATGGGTGGCTTGATGGGGATAGTGTTGAATCTATAAATTACTTTGGGCAGTATGACTATTTTCACAATATTGATTCTTGTTAACCACGAGGGTGGAATGTTTTTCCATCTGTTTGTGTCCTCTCTTACTTCCTTGAGCAGTGGTTTGTAATTCTCTTTGAGGAAGTCCTTTACATCCTTTGTAAGTTGTATTCTTAGGTATTTTATTCTCTTTGTAGCAATTGTGAATGGCAGTTCATTCTTGATTTGGCACTCTTTAAGTCTGTTATTAGTGTATAGGAATGCTTGTGATTTCTGCACATTGATTTTGTATCCTGATATTTCTGAAGTTGCTTATCAGTTTCAGGAGATTTTAGGCTGAGATGATGGGGTCTTCTAAATATACAATCATGTCATCTGCAAATAGAGACAATTTGACTTCCTCCTTTCCTAATTGAATACTCTTTATTTCTTTTTCTTGCCTGATTGCTCTGGCTAGAACTTCCAATACTATATTGAAAAGGAGTGGTGAGAGAGGGCAACCTAGTGCTGGATTTCAAAGGGAACGCTTCCAATTTTTGCCCATTCAGTATGATATTGGCTGTGGATTTCTCATAAATACCTTTTATTATTTTGAGATACCTTCCATCGATTTCTAGTTTATTGAGAGTTTTCAGCATAAAGGCTGTTGAATTTTGTTGAAGGCCTTCTATGCATCTATTGACATAATCATGTGGTTTTTGTCTTTGTTTCTGTTTATGTGGTGGATTACATT